AACTCCCCTCTTTCCCAGCCAAAAGCAGTACGCAACTGCACTCAAAGGCTTAAACTACAAGAAGACTTCCAACATAGTTCTGAAAATTCCTCAAAGTTCCACTTAACGAACCTGCAGCTGCGTCTCTAGAGAAAGCAATCTTCCTGTTTCTTAAGAAGTTTCAGACGCTGAACTTGGCTAGACACGAGGATCTGAAGGACATGTAAACAGGGATGGTTCTACCACAGAAAGCAGAGAAGGACTGAAGTAATCACCACTAGGCAATGCTTGTTCATCATTTAAACTGGAATCACCTGTTCAGTCATCATAAAAAGCTGTTCTGGCAGCTGGTCTGAACGGTAACTTCCATTATGGCCCAGCCTGAGTTCAGCCAGTAACAACCATGTGAGGCTGGCGGTGGTGCACGAACTTCAGATATTCCCCACCAGCCACACACATGAAACTTCCAGGACTTCCAAATGGTGTTTGGGGCCTATACCCCTGCCTGGCCCAAGGAGCTGGTGCAGCCACCAGCAGCTGCTAGTGAAGGCCGCGTGGCTGAGGTCACACAGGACCCAGCTGGATTGCTCAGAGCAACACGATGCAGTACTTTGATGAAGTACACAATTTATTTTTAAGACTAAACATGTATACACCTGAACTGGCTTCTACCCTACAGTTACACTCTATTTAATTCTTTAAGGACTGGCAAGTGAAAATGCCACCTAAATAACTTACAAAGATGAAGTGCTGCTGTAAATATGAGAAGTAAAATCAGAGAAAGGGATTCATACCTGACAGATTATACAACACTTTATATATGCACCAGTTTAGAGTATTATTCAATCACTGTAGTTCTACAGGTGCATACCATAAAAAGCCACATCTGCAAATGCTGCTTGTCTGAGACAGTGGTCAGTAGGTCCTCCTAACTTCACTAACGCAGTGTGGAAGAGTTTCACCAGAGGCAACACTATGAAGGAGATGATTAAAGGGCCTTTGACAATTAGTCATTTACACGGGTGGGTGACAGCCGCATGAGGGCAAAACATGCCTCCCCTTCAAAAAACACACATAAGAAATAAAATAAAGAAAAAAAAAAAAAAAGACTTTTAGTCTAGTTTCAGCATCTACCTGCTCCTTCTGGCGTAACTGCTGGGTCTGTCTGGTAGGGAGCACTGGAGATTGCATCAATCCTGACATAACGAAGCTGTCACACTCCTCAGTTGGGAACTTGCAAGGGCCAAGCACAGCAAGTCCTCCTGAAATGTTTATGACAGAACCCTGGCTTCCAGATGGAGTTTGCAAGGCCTGCATCACCCACAAGTACTACAGCACAGCAGCCACTTTGTCAGAATATACCATAAAGCAAACAGTTCTCAAATAGGGATCCATGGCATTGCCTGTACACATACACCCCTGGAGCTGCTGCACCATCCCAAGAGAGGCCCCCCTCAATCCAGGAGCCAATTTCAGCACACTCTGAGCAAGGGGACACGTGTGTTCCTTTCAGACATCATGTCCCCTCATCCAGTGTCTGCACATCACATGACTGCCACCGTCACCATCTTGTGGTGTATATGTCCAGTGCTCCTACAGAAGGTTTTCAACCCATTTAACTGCATAAAGGACCACAGCCTTCAAAGTGCTAGCATGAGATGCCCTGGGTGTGAAAAACACAAGGGTGAGAATAAAAGGACAGGACACTTCACATAGGATATTGCATTTTATCTCTCTATTTGTGATACACAAATAAGAAATCAGTTTCACATCATCTTGACTGCAGAACGAAAACGCTATGTAGGAAGTCCTCCTGGCCTCATGACAGTTTAAGATCACTTTGGGAACTAGGTGCTAGTTTAACCAGTAAATCACACTTTTACATTATCAACCGTGAGAAGTACTCACCCTAAACAATCAACCAGAGCTGTGTCTGTTAAACGGGGAATTTATGTAAAACATATGTCTGTAAAACGGGTTTCTCTAGCCAATCACCCACAGCTCTAACACAAGCCC